TGACTTGCGTAGGCTGGGACTTCCTCCGGACACGTGGGCCAAGGCCGGCGCGGACCATGAAGTCCTGGCTGATGTAGTTGCGAGATGCTCCGCAATCGATCAAGGCACTGCAGGTCGCCTCTCCGATCTGAATGCGTACGTAAATCAATGGTGCGTCGATGTTGTCGTACCGTTGCGTCTTGAACTCGCGGTCGATCTTCGCGATGTAAGCGTGAAGGTCGACAACCTCTGCTCCGGCGTCCATCAACGGAGCTGGTACTGCAGTGTGCAAGTAATCCCGCAATTGTGCCATGAGCACGTTGCAATGCGGTTTCAGCAATCGTCCGGTCGAGGGAACGGGCATCCACTGGAAGTCCGTGAACGTCAATGGGTCGAGCTCTTCAAGTCTTGACCATGACGTCGAATCCCCGACAATAGATTGCGGCGAAGYTGCCGAATCGGTTGCCAATGGTGATGAAACCGTGCATGCGGTGGATTGTTGCACGTGGAGCGGTTGGTCCGGCGGTGGAACCAAGTGGACAGCATAGTCCTCGTAAGTGTCACGAGAACTTGCGACATTCGCGTTCTCCCCAGATGTGCAGGAGGCCGCTAGCAAGGCGGCCGAGTCTGGCGGAGTAAAAGGTGGAGTCGCCTCACCTTCCGCGGAGCTCAGTTTCCCGAGCTGAGGCGGGGTCGCACATCCTCCTTGCCCTGATCCTGGCACAGGGAGGYCTTGTGCTTGGTGCTGTTGCACCAATAGCAGCTGCCGTAGCGGCCGCGGACCTTGTACTCCGCCTCGGTCAAGCCGAACTTGACCCATGGAAGCTGTCCATTTCCGGCCTGCGATGCTGGTTTCGCCTTCCCATTGTTGCGGGACTTGTTGTTGCTTTGCGGCTGGACAGCAGCCACCTGATCTCCGTCACCTGATGTTGGAGTGGCTGCTGGGTTATCTCCACTGTCCTGCTGGACTGCAGCGAAGTGCTGCTGTCGCGGACCAGTTCGTACCTTCTCCACATAGGTCGGTTGCCATGTTGATTTCTCGTGTGCAGCTGACCTGTTGGTCTTGATGATCCCTCTCGCCTTGTCGATAATCTCGGCGAAAGTGGAGTACTGCTCGCGATCACCAAGGGCCTGGCTCAATGCAGCACAAGACCTGTTGTAGAACTAACATCTGAGATGAGTGAAAGGCAGATCCAGATTGGGCACTGCCGCAATCTTCTGCCAYTCTGTGAGCCAATCCCGTGTTGCAGTGTTGCCCTGTGACATGGTGAACAAACGGTTGATGGCGAGTGCCGGCGCGTCGTCGACGATGAACCGCTTCCGCCGTGTCAGTTCCTCCCATGGAGGTTGCCAGGTGGCTCAACCAGGTCTGGCATCCGCCCTTTGAGTTCAGGAACAGGGCGTCGATGTACGCATGCTTGGCTACGGGCAGAATCCTGAGTTGCGTTCTGAATGCTTCCCACCAGAGGACCGGATCCTGCTGCGTGTAGTCGTCGAACCTCTCCAGGTTGAAAGTTGGCATCTTGTACATCTTTGGATAGTCGTCCGCGTTCGTCGACTGCAACTGCTGGACCTCCATCTTCAATGTATGCAGCTGACTGCTGATGGTGGTGGTCGGCGCAGCGAAAGTGCTGATGTCGTCCAGCATTGCCACTACGTGGTCAACGCGGTCCTCCAGTTGGCGGCTAGAGGGTGCACTGCTGGAAGCCCCAGCAGCTGGTCCTGGTACAGCCTGTTCCAGGTCCAGCAATCGGGCATTGAGTGCCCGAGTTGCATCCTCGTGGTTCTGCACTATGCGGCGGAGCTTTGCCAACTCATGATGCTGTTGCGTCAGGTACTGGTACTGTCTCTCCAACTCTGACTGTTGGTAGTTGCAAGCGTACAACAACCTTGTCACGAGTTTGGAGAGGAACTCCTTGTGCTTCTCTTCCGGTGTTGCCTCGTTGCCGTTCGGTGCAAAGTGTCAGAACTTGAGTCTGTCGATGCTGTTGGCTTCATGCCGCTGCAGCAGATCCTGGGCTTCCTTGCGGCGAGCCTGGGCATCTGCGTCTGTGTTGGCCTGTAGCCGCAGTTGCTCTCCTGYTGCTGCCTCTTCAGCCTGTACGCGGGCAGCCTCGGCTGCCAGCTGGCGTTGTTCCTCAGCCTCAATCTGAGCGTGGAACCGCTGCTTGTAGGCGGCAAGGGACTCGTTGGGCAGTTGCCCTGGCAGGCCCGTCATGTTGCTGACGTGGCACTGCTGCTGTGGCACTGTGTCTGACGTCACTGCTGACGTGGCAYTGTGACCTGGCATTGCGGACGTGGCACTGCTGATCTGGCACTGTGACGTGGCACTGCTGAC